CCAGGAACTGACTTCATTTCCCTTAGATTGTCAAATAAAAAATGACAAAAGCCAGCCAAGGTCAGGGTGGCTCAGATGAGTGTGCCCCGTGTACCAAAAGGTCTTTGGTTCGATTCCTGGTCAGGGCGCTTGATCCTCATTGGGGAGTGCAGGAGGCAGCGTGTTGATCTCGCTCTCATCAGTGTTTGCATGTTTTTCTCCCCCTCCCTCTCTCTCTAAAAAAGTCAGTAAAACATCTGAAGAAATGCCAAGAACCAACACAACAATAGCCATCTACTGTGAATCAAAATTACACTTTTTTTGGCCAGATCAGCAAAAAATAATTTTTTTTTAATTTAACACAGAATTTTAGTAATTAGTTTATGTATGCCATGAGATAGAAAGGGTTGAAAATTGCTGCAATAGACCAATTTCATTTTTACTAAAAGATGCCCAAATTAATTCTTAGTGTATACAACATAACATTAAAAATAAATTTTATTAAAGATATTCAATTTTAAAAATCTCAAGATCAAGATGGTTTTTCTGGAATATTTAGTTACTGGGGCTCTTCTGTTTCCTTCCCTGAGAACACTGATTTGGCATATTTTTATAGAATGTTTTTATAAAATCACTTGTTCTAAGCATTTATCATTATATGCAAAAAGATCTCTTGATGAGAATATTATAGACGGTGCATGTTTTTGACATTAGCATTTTATTTGGATGACTAATCTTGCAGATGTGAAATTCTAATGAATTATTCATGATATTGCTTTCCTCTGAAATTTCAGTTTGCTCTTAATGCTAGTTATTAAACATTTTGTTTTTCTCCATAAAACCTGATGAAGAAAAATAAGACAGTACTTCCTCCTCGTTCCCGTTTCCCATTCCCTGGTGGAGACGGGACTTGAGGCCCGAGGCCAGAGCTTCGGCCTGTGATGCTGGGAGCTCAGGCCCGATGATTTCAATCAGCGCTGGCAGCCGCCGAGGACACCAGGGCCGTGCCCAGCAGACTCAGTCGCGGGGAGAGGGAAAGAAACGCAGGCTGTGGCGACTCTGACCACCAGTGTGAACAACCAGCATTTTATTGCATTTGAGAATGCCATGTCAGTCCTCAGTACTGACTACACATTTTTTATTGTCTGCATCCACAGACACGGAATGATGGAATTACAGTTGATATCAAGGAATGAGTTTATTTATGCCATATCCAAACGAAACGAAACGGAAGTTCCTGTTGCTGGCAGCGCCACCCTGGAGCGGGCGGGCCCGTCTGCGCCGTCTGGGGGAGGCCGTGAACTGCCTGGGCCCACGGATGCCGTTAGATTACAAGTCTCATTCTCAGGATAAAAAAAGCAAAGCCGACTCAAACACATTCAAAGTATCAAAAGGGCACACCGTTAACCGAAGGTACCACACCATCCCAAACCCTTAGAACGCAAGCTCTCTGCGCCCTTGGAAATGCGCTCAGCTGGAATGTGGGAAGGAGAGGAAATATGTAACTTTCTCTTCACAATAAAAAAACCAGTGCTTTACATCACTTGGGGTGAAGAACCAGGCTGGTGGTTAGGTGATGGGTGTGAGGTGTCAGAGCTGTCAGTAGGGCCGGCTGGCGACCGGCTCTGGGGCCGTCATTCCTGACAGCGCTTGCTTGACCTGGTTCCCGGGACCACGTCCCTAAGGTTTGCTTTTCATTGGAGAAAATGTAACAAATTGTGTTTACATTTTGGCACCTTGTAAAGTGTTTTTTTTTTAATACAAAAAGTTCAATAGCTTTGACACTCCTCGCCATTAATCACCACGTCACTGATAAGCTTTGAAAGTGTGGCCCTGCAGTTTCATCATGCAAATATGTCCTGCAGCAGAAAACAGCCTTAAAACATTTCTTCTCCTTTCAAATGTATGAACTTGTTTAAGATCGCCAGGAAGGCAGTGTAGGATAGACACAATGGATAGGAATGTATAAAAAAAAACAGATCAACACACATGCCCACGCGCACGCACACATACACACACACACACACACAAAACCTGTACAAAATGCTCCAATCAATGAGAAGGGGGAAAAGTCTGTTAACTATGTTACAATTTAAAAGCAAAAGAAAAAAAGGGTAGGGAATTTCTCTCTCCCACATGTCAGGAAATGTCATCCGGTATTCTTAAAGCAAGGATAACTAAATAAAATACATGTGCAGCATATCCTGCAATTCCATTACATACAGTAGTTTTTTTTCCCCAAAGCTATTTTTTAAGTATCATGAATATAAAGCAGTTGCACAAAAAGCAAAGGTGTTTTGACAAACAGGTGTATGCATTTATTCCTTTTGAGGAACAATATCTAAAAAAAGATCCGCCGCCTCCCTCCCCCAGAAAGACGAAGATTCACACAGACAGTTGGGATATATGTACAACATAATGAACACCCTAAGGAGCGGCCGGGCAGCCCCGGGATACAGTCAGAGTGTGAAATCGGAGCGGAGTCTGCTTGCTGTAAGCCTGAGAATGTTTTCAGTTGGTTCTCCTGCAAAGCTGTGACACCTGCACGACATGGAGTCTAATTCTTCCTTCTCACCTTTGCTACAGTCTTTAGACTAAGCATGCAAGACATACGACTAAGTGCAACTGAGTGACTTTTTTAATTTTAATCATTCCCTAAGGTTTGAACTGAGGTATGCGTACTAACAGTTTCTCATGCTGTTCTCTTTACTCATGTCTAGCTACACATGCTGAGAATGAACTAATCTACCAGATTTTTATCCTCTTTTGAATACCAAACGAACCAGCCACCACTCTTCAGAAGCACGGGGCCCCTGCCCAGGCCCTGCTGGCCACCGCCGAGCTGGCCGGGGGGAGGCTGCCGGCCGACCACAGGCTGCGCCGGCAGAGCCGAGGGGCGTCCAGGTCCACTGGCAAAGGAGTTTTGTACCAAGCTTACGAGTGGACAGGAGTGTTACTTTATTAAAAAATGAAAAACGCGGGCCAAGGCCTAATCAGAAAACAAAGAAAAAAACGTTTAAACAAAGAAGAGGATATGTGCCAAGAGAAACCCAAATTACCACAGTGACCACAGCACAGCCTGAAACAGAAGTGGCGTGAATCCTCCTCTACGAAGTGTCTTCTCGAACCACCTGGGAGGTGCGGCCACTGCGGCTCCGCCTCTCCGCGCTCCGAGGAGCCGCCTCGCTCCAGGCCCAGGCAGTGAGGCGGGCCCCGCCCTGGGACTGCTGTGATGCTGTGCCCACGTTTGTCTCCAGGAGCCCCGTAATCTCCCTTTACAAGAATGAATTTGGGCTTAGTAGAGAGAGATTCAGAAGAGAAAAAAACCCAACAACTAAAAAAAGTAACAACTTTGGTTCCATCATCTGCTTGGCCTTCTACATCTACGAAGAAGCAGCTCTTCCTCAGCTTCCGCAGCCACAGCCCACCCATTGCCTCTAAGTCCTTCCCTCCTTTGATCAACAATAAGAGGATATTTGGCTTCATCAGATAAAGCATAAAACAGAGAACATAATTTACCTTTGTGTAATATCTTTGGTAATTTTAGAAAAAAAGGTACAAAGAATATAAATTAAGCTCCAAAGGGCTCTCAAACTAAAAACAAGAGCTACGGTCCTAGGGGAGCAGCGGGGCGGAGGGCTGCGGCTGCCGCGGCCAGCGGTGCTGAGTGGCCCTCCCTCCTGCCCCAGAGCCCAGGCTGGACGTGCCTGCTCCGTCTCCTAGGCTGGCCTGCCCTGGGCTGTGTGATCAGGGCGTGCGCACTGAGCTGCAGCAGCCAGCCTGCACACGTGACACCAACACCTCAGCACCTGCCCAACTCAGTCTCCACCGGACAGCTGACTGGATCACACAGACTGATGCCACCATGAGGTCTGAACTGGTGTTAAACCACCACCACCACCACCACCATCGCCACTCCAGCAGGGCTGCTCAGGAAGCCGGCTTTCTGGCCCCTTTGCAAACACAGCGCCCACTCTGGCTCAGCATGGCTGGTCCCAAGTTGGTCCCACCAGGTGAGCCTTCACAGCCGGTGCCAGCCCCGAGATGGTGAGCTGTTGGGGTGAGGCCTGTGTTTCCCGAGCTGGTGAGACGCTGCGGTCACTAAGGTTGAGGCAGCTGCGAGGTCGGAGCGCGGATCGAACCAGCCCTCCCGCCCCGCACGGCCTGCTCCGAGTCCCTGCTTTTCTGTCATTCATTCTCTGGGCAGGCCGCGCCGGCGGGCCTGCATGTGTAGAGTGCAGCATTTGGGACCTTTTAGAAAAAGACCAAAACGGAATGTTTTCTGACTTTGGAGAAAACATGGTGATGTCTGAAGAAAAATGGAATGAGTGACAGAAAACTACAAACAAGAACTGACATTCAGCGCTGTATAATAAACACCTAGAACATTCATCACAAGGTACAGGAACGGGAAGCCCCAGGAGGCCGTGGGCCCCAGCGGAGGCCTGAGGTCAGAACTTAAAATGGCAGAGGAGAAGCAAGAAGAAAAGCAATACATTAAAAAGTGTGGGGTAATTATTTCTCACCCCTCCCCCAATAAACACACAAAGGTCTTCCCCATCCCAACTGGAAGCAAAACCCCCAAACAAACACCCCCGCTGGAGGAAAGGCAGTGACGACATGCAGTGCGTGGAGCAGGCCGGCTGGGCGGCCCGCGGCGCGGGGCCCATGTCAGGGCGTCCTCGGTCCGGTCGGCGGGACTGCAGTTCAGAGGCTGCTGCTGCAAGCGAGTCGGTTTAGCGAATTTACAACAGCTGCTGACCGTTAGAGGGGAAATCCCGAGTACCAAACACGTCCATCCGATGCACAGAGTACAAATTCCTTTTTTCAACAAAAAGTAGAAAAATCAAAAATACTCCCAAATGGGGTTCTGGATGGCACTGAGTTAACCTTTCAGAGTTTGCCAAAGCGCAGTGACGCTCCTCCAGACTGTACAGCAAGCGGAGAACGGCGCCACTGCTCGCTTTTGACGTGTTTTTGTTTTTCCAATCTTCATTTTTGGGGACGGCCTACCCAGACGTTCATTCCATGTCCTCGTTTACCGCTTCGTCTTCGTAATCTCTGTCCTGGTCAAACTCGGGGCTGTGGTTGGCTGTGGTCACCAAGGACAGCGGCCCCTCGGCCTCCTCCGGGTCCAGGGGCTCCTCCTTGACGTGCACCGGATGCCTGGAAGCGAGAGCAGGATCTCAGGGAACGCCACAGTGCAAGCTAGCGGCCCCGAGCCCCACAGGAGCGCATCTAGACCACACTGTCCAACAGCGCAGTGCGGCCACAGGTGGCCTTTCAGTTAAAATTAATACAATTTAAAATTCAGTGTCTCACTGCACCGGCCACATTTCCAATGCTCAAGGCTGGGTGTCAGCAAGGCCACCGGGCAGGACAGCACAGAGCAGGCATCCTGGCCTCACAGCAGGTGCTCCTGCCCTAGTGGCTGGAGCCTGGTGGTCTCTGGACCAACTGGCTGTCCTCCTCCCAGGAGCCTCAGGCTGGTGCACCCCACTCCCTGGGGGTCTTGAGAGGAGGCAGAGGGGACTCAGGGGGCCTGGGGGCTGCTGGTCAGGGGAACACCTTGAGCCCCGGTGGCATCTGGGTGATGACTACAAACCGTCACGTCACACCGAACTAGGACCCTGGGGGGCAGCGGCTGGCGGCAGGCGAGCGGAGGCTGTGCTGCTTTGCTCGTTAGCATGCGGACCCCGCGAGAGAACTCTCCTGAGAACGACCCAAGTGAAGTCCTATCATTAATCAACTTCAAGCAAACACAGCAAAGAGACACCATGATACATGCTTGAAACTCCAAATTAATGCATATTTTCACAAACTGTCAATAAGGCAAGAAAAGCCCTGCCAGGAAACACAAGCGAAGAGGAAAATGCTCCCTCAACACAACACGGTGATAAGGCAGCAGAGCCCGATCAGAAGAGCAAGGCTGTCAGCAGTGAACAGGGCCCAGCAGGAGCTGGAGCAGCGGAGGGCGGGGGCCCGGTGACTCATTAGGGACTGAGTGTGGCCCGGCTGGAGGCCCACAGGGATGGCAGGACATCACTCTGATAAAAACTGAGAAATGTTCCTAAGTCATATTTACAACCAGGCCTTTGCAAACACAAATTACTTGGTGCTACAGGGCTTTGATATGTAAAAACTGCCCTGTTTGGTTAAAGGCCCTTTCTGGGCCAGCCACAGAAAAAGGATGCTGTAACTGACATTATTAAGTTATTATTAATGATGAGAGGTGTTCCTGCAGATGGACGGCTGGTTTCCTGAGTGACTGATGCTGTGCCCAAACCCGAAGGCCGCCTGAGCCTCTGCAAACAAACAGGAGTGCCCTGTGCTGCCCTCACCCTGTGCTCCTTCAGGAAATCCCGACTCCAAGCCGAGAGGAGGGGAGCGGATGGCAGGAGGAAGCGCTTTCTTACGTCGTGCCCAGAGTCTCAAAACCCACTTGCAAAATAAAGTGTCCCCAAGCTGTGTAATAACATGCTTTACTAGTTATGGCGCGTCTGCTTTGTTTCCTGATGGTCGTATTTGTCTGTGCTTCTACCGTGAGACCTGACCTGGCTACATAATTGGCAGAGCCCTCTGTGAAGGAAAACTGGTTCAAAATTTAGTAAGACTTTCAAGCTGGAAGCAGTCCTGGGCATGGTGTCCCTCCTGTCCCGGGCACACTGCACTCCTTTGTGCGCTGATTATTATTCCTTAAAAAAAGCCCCCACACTCCTGATTAGGGGAGGTGTTTGGTTTCTGCTCTCCTCTCCACTTGGGGTCACATTTCCATATCCTGTGAGCTACTCCGAGTGTGAAGGCTCCCGTCCTGCTCTCTGTGGGACACAGAGGCGACTTCTATCCATGAATCTTTCTCCCTCTGCTGATTTCCCTCTTCAGGATACTAAGAATGAAAATGTTAGAGCAAAGGCCAAAGTATCGTTATGATTTTTGTGATTTGTTGTGATAATAATTTCCAAAGGGACTTTATCAATTTAGACTCGACCTCATCAGCACCAATATTACTTTAAATTTTTTTTTTATTGCTTAGCAGGTATAAGGTAAGCTCGAATGACCTTAAATTGTGTTTCTTGAATTACTGACAACAGTGTATATTTTTTCATGTTTGTTTCATATTTTCAATATTGAGAACTGTTAATTCATAAACTACCACCTTCTTCATTAATGACATGGTTTGTCTACTAGGCAGAATTGATCTGTGTTTGACTTTGCTGTAGATTGAAGTTAAATGTAGTTTCCTTGATCAACATTTTCCCAGTTTCATTTTTCTCAAACAATCGTATTTATTAAAACTTCCAGGTTTACAGATCTGAATTTGATGACACTGAGATGATACTATGGCCTGGAGGGAGTGGGAGAGTTGGAAGAAATCAAACAGTCATCAGGAAGTCCTTGCTTTATAGTTTTACTGACAAATGTTTTGCTGGGAAAAATGAAATAAATAAAAATAATAAGCCTGCCAACACAGTTCACATTAGGGAGTATTCCCCCCAGCCCTAAATTTGCAGCCAGATCTCAGTAAGATTATTAGCATCCCAATGTCATGGGTTATGACCTATCATGCATGCCTACTGGCTCAGTCCGTGCTGTGTGACACCAGACAACACACCAGAACCTGAGTGAAACCCGGCTTCCTGTCCCCAGCAGAGGCCGAGCTTGCCAGCGCAGCGGCCCCGGCCACACGCAGCGCGCAGATAGCGGAGGAGCGGCCTTCCGCGCAGGACGCACTCGGTGAGACAAATGCTTCCTTCGCCCACGTGTTTCCAGAAACGGGAGCTGCAGGCCTTGCTTCTTCTTTTGTAGATCAACCCCACACACCCGCCCATCTTTCTCTCCAACTCCTCCTTCCCAACGGGCTGCCAGTGAATAACTAACACACACATTTCCGCTCTCTGGTCCCAGTGATTCCTTTGTTTAGCCGTTCTGGGAACAGCATTTCCAGCGGAAGCTGGCTGGTGTGTAACGGCATTGTGATCTCAGGGTGTGTGCAAAGCTTGCAGTATTTTGCTTTGTAACTCTTTTAGCTCCTATCAAGCTAAAAGCATACTGCCCCAAAGCCATGATTATGTGACTACTTTCCAGGGTTTCAAAAGAGAAACAAGCCCGGACCGGTTTGGCTCAGTTTATAGAGCTTCGGTCTGCGGACTGAAAGGTCCTGGGTTCGATTCCGGTCAAGGGCGTGTACGTTGGTTGCGGGCACATCCCCAGTGGGGGGTGTGCAAGAGGCAGCTGGTTGATGTTTCTTTCTCATCCACTTTTCTAACTCTCTGTCCCTCTCAATTCCTCTCTGTGTATAATCAATAAAAATATATTTAAAAAAAAAAAAAGAGAGAAACAAAATGTAATGGTATTTGAGTGTCCTTACCGAAACAGTAAGGAATGCAGAGTTCTGTTTCAACACCAGACGTTAGCTGGGCCCCGGCACTAACAAGGTCCTTAAGCCTTGCTGTGAAGTTTACAGCTTGATTTACTCCAATAGACTGGAACAGTTAAGAAACAATTTGCATCATAGCAGGGCAATGCACATTGGACAAGAATGGAAACTAAGCCATTACAGAGTCTGCTTAATGGAAATATGGGGTCAGAAAGAGTAACAGTCTCTGACACTGATAGCAGGCACGGGAAATATGCTGCTGACATGTGATTAGATTTAGCAAACAGTGTGAACCTGTGAGATTTGAGCAAAAAATCATATGCATTTTAATGTCGTTATGTAGGGTTTCTTTTTTCTGTAAAAGCCATTGAAACCTTCATTTTGTTAAAAATTATGCTGACTGATGTAAAACATGGTTTCTGATAATACTGGGGGTTAATTCAAAGTTCTTAAATTAATTTTATAGTGACTTTATCTTGTACAGCAAAAGTCACATTACTCTAAAATGTTGCCTGAGGTTTGTATCCAAATTTCTTTATTTTTTAAAATTAATTAATTTATTTTTTAATTGGTCCTTTAAACTAAATAATAGGAATATACATCAACTAAACTTTGGAGTCCATAAAATTATGAGAAATTGTATCCTTCTATCAATAACTTCAGATATTTTTGCTCTACTGAGTATTTCTTGAAGTATCTTATATAGCAATTTATGTTTGCTCTGAACTTCCCATTCAGTATTTAATATCTGAATAAATACTCCTGTCATGACGACAATTCAAAGATGAAAGCCTGCGGTACAATGGGAACCTCGGGCTGCACAGAAAGCGCGATCTATGGGAGTGTCGCTCAGAAGAATGGGAGTCAAGGCTAAGCGACTCTTCCTACAAACTAACAATCACTCCCAGCTTTAAAAACCCTTTTCAGATCACTTTGGGCTTAAACCAAATGCTAAATAATCAAATTTCAGAACCCCCCTCCCCAACGCAACAACTACCCTGGCAGACAGCATTTTTTCTGCCACTAGGATGCCAGTTCATTCTGTGCTAATTGCTACAGGTCATATTTTCCATTCCTATTGCTCAAATGATCTTCACATAAGACGTTAACCGGTAATTCCGAAGGCCGGTAGCTAAATAGCTTCTTCTGAGAGCTGGCAGCAGGCACATGGAGCCGATTATTCCCAAAGTGGGCGTCCGTTTGCAGCCACTGGCTTAAAGCACTCCTTCTATGACCCAACCCTACCCAGTCATGGGGCCAGTGTGGTTTCTCTTCTTTCTGACCTTTTCCCCGAGAGAGGGCACTTCAGGCCCGCCTGCTCCCTCCCGGCCTGCGGCTCCCGGGCCGCTCAGTCAGCACGGACAGCACTGCCCTCTCTTCACTCAGTCACGTGTGTGCTCATTATACTGCCGTCTGCTGCTAGAGCGCTCCTATTAATTTTCCTTCTGATTTTAACAGCAATCTATCAATCATGCTGCCTTTCATGTGTGCCATCACCGCTGCCTGGGAATGGCGCTCCGGCGCTGTGTTCCTGGTGAAACTCGCCCACAGCAGGCAAACAGCATCCCTCTCCCTGGCGGGTGAGCAAGCCCGAGACTGAACACACCGAGCGGCTGCACTGCGGTGCACACTGACCGCGGGGACATGGAGGGTGGGAGGCAGAGGGTGGAAGTAATGGTCCGGATGCCAGGCAGCGGGCAGAGAAGCAACCCGACCTCCACTCTAGTGCCGTGCACACCGGTAGTGCTGCATGAAGCCGGCCCTTTTGCTGGAAAGTTAGACAATGGTGCTAAGCGAGCTAAATGTTTCCAGAAGCACTGGGTTCCGGGAAGTAAAGAATTATAGAAAAGGTGTAAAAGTGGGCGCAGAGAGGCTTGTGTGCACACAGGACAGGGAGTCGGGGTCTGGCGCAGAGGTCTGGGGCAGTACTCACACGGCCTGCACGGGCGATCTGCCGGGGCTGCTGTCGCTCTCGGTGCTGTTGGCGTGCTCCACCGCCCCGTTGAGCTCTTCCCGCATGGCGCTGGCCAGGCCGCCGAGGGCGGGGTTGCCCAGGGAAGCGGTGGTGTACAGAGGTATGCTGTTCTCAGCCATGGAAGCCTGTCAGCAACCGAGAGAACAGTTAGGGGGCAGGCGCACAGGAGGGAGCTACCCGCGAAGAGAGCAGCACCCACCCTGCTGACACTCACTGAGGGGTGGTGGGCAAATTCAAGTTTTTAGTGACAAGGATTTTGCTTTAAAAGTAAGGCTTGTGACACACGCCCCAAGCTTAGTTCCAGAGAGCTCCCTGGGGGCTCAGACGCCCGCAGGGAGGGGAGGCTCCATCAGCCTTGCTGGGCAGAGTCACATGGTCCAGACAGGGCCATCTAATATGAGGTTTGTGTCTGATGCCTTTTTTCAAGACCCAACTGAATATTTCCAGATCACAGGGAAATGTAATGGAATTTTCATTTCTTTATCCACTTTGATGACTCCAGTATTGGATATTAGAGATTTGATCACATTATTCTGGCTGCACAGCTCAAACTTATGAGAACTTCCATAAACATTACTTCATAGATGCTATAGAAGAGGAAGAGATTATAGAATTGGAATCAATTTTTATCGCCCACTCATCATTTCTGTTTAAATGGTTTTTTAATCTGTTTAGTGTAGTTTAAGAAAATGGTTGAAGGTAACACCCGCAAATCTTTCACTCTCAGACCAACCAATCACCTAGTATGTTAGGACTAAAAATAAATAGATGGATAGGCAGGTAGGTAGGTAGATGGATAGATAGATGGACAGATAGATGGATAGATAAATCTCTGCCAAAAGGAAACTCTAAATTATATTTCTTTTGGGAACTTAAGTAGATCTATACTGAAACTGACAAAGTCAGTCCAAAATGAGTGTCAGCAAAAAAGTGTGGAGATGAAAAAGCCACCCTGGCCTTTCCGTGGAACCTGAGAGCGCTGCTGGGCTCTCCTGTCTCTGTTCCCTGGAAACGCCCCAAATGGCGCTCCCTGGTCATCTCACCTTAGACGGTTGCAACGCCTTCAAAGTGGGGCCATCGCCAGCTTGTATTTTAGCAGCTTCTTGAGTCAAAAACGGGGGATCAGGATCTAAATGTTTATGAGGAAGTACTCTTGGGGTCCTTTCTCCTTGGCTCTCAACGGGTTTGAGGGTGAGGCCGTTTCCGAATGGAACTAACATCCAACAGTCACGGTGGCAAGAGGCGCCCAAAAGGCAAGCGCGCACACTGACACTCCCACAGAAGGAGGTCAGCGAGGAGAACCAGCCTTCCCCACAAACACCGCCAGCTGGCTGCAGGGAGCCTGGGACCGCTCTTGTTGAGTGAATGATCAAAGCGCCCCCAGACAAGGTCAGAAACTGCTCATGCCTACGCAGTGTTCCCCTTGTAGCTGACGCCGCCTCAGGGGCCATTGTGTGATGGACCTGCTTATGTGCATGGCCCTGCGCACAGCACGTGGTTCACACCAAACAGCACCTCTGCCAAAAGCACGTCGGCGCTGAGGAATCCTGCCAAGCCCCAGTGCCAGCGCCCCTGGGCGTGAGCGCCTCGGGGTCCTCGGGGGAAAGGCGTCTATAAATATGAAGCTTATGGTTCCCTTAGTTACTTCACTGTTTCAAAGCACTGTTACATTTCTGTAGTGGATTCTGCTGTCCTCATTTATATGCCGCGCAGCACGCGTCAGTTATGTCACACCAGGGATCTATGCTTTCTACTTGTCGTGAGAAGGGCACTGATGGGAAGGAGGCTGCTGGTGGCGCTTTATTTAATTTGCACAGCAGACAGGTTTCCCGTGACACACCTACTGACCATGGGCCACCCAGAGCGAGGAGGGCAAGACCTCCCCAACGAGAAGCGGCACCGACGGGCACATGCACTTCCTGACGGCGAAGGGTCCAGGGACGGCAGCAGCACTGGGGGCTCGGCGCAAACAGGGGGGTCAGAAGAGGCGGGAAACCAGTGTATGCAAGGTGAGGGGGTGCAGCTGGTTCTGGGACCACTGAGCATGCCAACGGCAACCAGGCACACAGTGGAGGGAGCCCAGAGTACAGAGGGCTGCTGCTTTCCCCCTTTCCGCCTCATGAATGTAAAATGTGCTTGTAATCTTAATACTATTCCAGACAGAGCAGAGCGGTCGGTCTTTAAATTCACAGCTCACGAGACTCCAGGGAAAGTGAGTCGCTAATGAATGGTATTTACAGGGGCGGCATCTGAGCGTGCTTTCATTTGCTTTTCTGAAGTTCCTGTGTAAACTACAGTAATTAAAAGAAATGCGGGTAGTTCCTCCTGGTGGGCTTGGTTCAGGCTAAGAATAAATAAATGTAATCACTGAGGAGCTAAGGCCAGTGCCTCGCCTCCGCGTGGACAGTGTGCAGGCTGCCGTCCGTTCCCAGAGCTGGAGACCGGGGAGTGATTTGTGGGTGCAGAGCAGGTGCTCAATAAATATTGGATTTGTGAGTGGTGAAGCCAGGTTCCCATCACTGTCTCCTCTTTGACCCGGCCCTTCCCCATAATGCCAAGTGTCTCAACCACTGGTATTCCGTGAGGAACTTCTGCAAAACGTTTGCTTCTGGATCTGTCCCTCCCCCCCCCCCCCCCCCCCCCCGCCCCGTAAAGTATGAATATCTGCTTCTGGGCAAAGGCTCTGGAGGGGCACAGCCATTGTAACGGCAGAGAACTGATTTCAGGGTGACATGGGACCCCAGAATGCACACTGCAAGGTCTTCACTGGCCTGTAGCTCCATCTAAAAGTGACCAAGCCTCCCTGGGTCTGTGTTCCAGAACAGTCTAGGTAGATCAAGTTCAATCAGGACCCCTGGCCACAGGGACACCCCACCTGGGAACTGCGGAGGGCCCCGGTCTGCCTTGGCTTACAAAGGACGAGGCGTGGGAAGTGAGGGGCCCAGGAGCGCAGAAGGGCACAAGGCCAGCGCTGCCCCGGAGCCGGGTGGGTGCTGGGGTCTGCCTCCTGCTCAGCAATCAGTTCAGGGCCCATCTGCAGAGGAGGGTGCCTGTGCCTTGGTGGCTCGACCACCAGCGGAAGGAGTTTATTCAACACACCCCTTCCTTACACACCACAACTTCCTGCCCCGAGCCCGCCCCGCGCCCGCCCCGCAGAGGAAAGAGGGAAACAGGCTGGAAAAGGAGAAGTGAAAAGCCGGCTTTCTCCGGGAGCCTGAACAATAGGAGGCACGTGACGGCGGCCTATCGCCAGCACATTAATAGCTGTGCTGCAGTAATTACACTTGTGGTATTTTTGCCTCAAGTGAAATTCTGAAATAAGAGGATGGAAATTATGATACCGCTGATAAATATTAATAAGTGAACTTTTAATTTTTTTGCCACAATATTCAAAATGCTAAGCATCCTGCGAACGCTGAAGCAGCCGATGTGTTTGCCTCCAGGGAGGACGATGCTTTGTGCACTTAAGAAAAAAGTTTAACGGAATTAAAATTTAATATCTAATTAGAGTGAGGCTAATATATTTTGAGATGAGCGGGGAGGCACTGCCCTGCACACGCTCGGGCCGGCCATCGATCTTACCTGCAAAGCCGCGTTGAGAGGCGTGCAGTAGGCGTGGCTGCTCTGCATGTTTTTGATGAGGGAAGGGTTACTGCACGAGAGAAAGAAAACTCCAGTTAAATGCAATCACCCCGAGTTCCTGGCTGTTTTGTTCAAGCTTTCTGGCATCCTTCCAGAACAGAAACATCCCGCCATCACCGGAGAGGGCTTTCTCCCAGCTCCTGGCTTCCCTGGGCTGGGAACTCCTCTGCGAACAGCTTTTGCTATTCTCGGAAACTGGGTGTAAACTCAGCTTAGGTAATGGGCACTCCCTCCACTGATGAATTTCTGTGCCACAAAATACTGGCCTCTGCCAGTTTGTAAAGCTGTCATTTGACAGAGCACAGCCCTGGGGGCCTGGGGGTGGGCCTCCCCGGAGGGTACCCCTGGCCTCCAGCCCCGGGCTGCAGAGCAGAGGCCGGGGAAGGGCTCGGGCTCCTGGGCTGGCCTCGGAGCGAGCAGGTCTCCCGGGGAAACGGAGGGAAGGCGGGGCTGGGAGAGGGTCACTGCCACAGGCCGAGGAGATGTTTGATGCTGGCTGGGTGCAGTCACTGAAGACAGATACTATTGTAATAAACCTCTGACCTGGCAGAGTGCAAGCATTAAATGTCACAGAGGAGATGCTGTGGGAAGGAGAGGCTCCGGTAAGAAGCACCCCGCGCCCTTCCTCACTGGGGCCAGCAGAGGAAGGATACACATGCTATCCATTTCTTTCCTAAGCTCGGAGCATTTTAATCAAACATCCACTACGTTTATATTATTATTCCGTAAGCAAAAACTGGGAGAAATTTACCCAAGTACCAATTTTAACTCTAAATAAAAGCTTCCTTTTTACTTGGAGGGATTATGAGTCACACAGAAGTATTTAGTGACAGGGCCCCTGTTAGCTGCTGAGTCAAAAGGTGACCAGTATTTGCATTAAAGACATCAAAAAAGCATTGCTCAAGCACTGTGTTCCAGGAGAATCGAGAGGACGTGCAGGTCACGCGGTTCAGCTCCTGAAGCAGGTGGTGGCACAGCCACCCGGTGAGATGCGAGACTACATGGATGAGTCCACCATGCAAAGCCAAAGCAACAGCAGAAAACAAAAAACAAAAGCAAGTTAAAGGCTCTTACTGTGCGACAAGCTCGTCAGAGTTTTCATCGGGGCAGTATTTGCGAGGACGGCCTCGTTGAATATGGCGGCCACGTTTAAACTCTTCATCATCAACTGTCCAAAAGGACCCACACTCATCCTCTACTCTGATAAAGCACTTATGCAGTGAGAGGTTGGTGCGAATGGCACCCTGGGGTAGGAGCAGCAGCAAAGGAGATGAAGTGGCAACAAAGGGAGACGGGGTTGGGGGCGGAACAGACATCCAATACAGGGAACAGGAAAAAGAAAATAAAATGCAATAAGCATAAGCAAATGGTTTGTGAGGGTTAATATGCATTGCCACCTAAAAGCTACTAGCATGTGATGCAACAAAGACTGGCAAGCAGGGCGGGGGCGGTGGGTGTACAACAGGAGGGATGGAATGCTTTTTTGCTTCCCTTAACTGAGACGACGTGAAACCAGTTCTCTGGTCTAACACCATCTAGCAGCCAAAGCCTCTACGTCACACTTGTTAGCACAATCCAAGCTGGGCTGAGAAGTTCAAACGTGGTGGACGTACCCACTGATCTTTTGTGGCCTTCGTTTTTGGAACTCTACTTCATCCACTGTCCATACCGCCCCTTTAACGTTCTCTACTCGCACAAAACACTTGTGGAGACTAAGATTATGACGCACTGCATTCTGCAGCAAGTATAAAAGAGAGAACATTGACATTTTCTATGAGAAAAGACTCCAAAAACAGCAGTAAATTCAGCCTAACAGCCCACATTTGTAAAACCATCCCCAAGAGCTATAGTTACCACCCCCAGGGACAACCTTCTTGTGGTCAGGAGTGCCTTTTCCAAAAGCAAAGGAAAAAAACCAAAACCACACATGAATTGTGCTTTGGCATCTCAGGCTAGCCTCTGCTCGTAACGACCCGGAAGAAAAAAGCATTATGCAGATAAGCCCTTATAGATTTCACAGTGAAATCTGAAAACATCGTTCACGTGACTTCAAAATAAGGACGTGTGAGCAGCGTGCAACTGTCCCTTTAAGCTCACTGACCTCCCGTGACAGGGCGGCTTGTTTCTATGTTTTAAACCAGGAGAGTCGAAGACTCAATTATTGTTGTTTGATACATTTTGTTCTTGTTCTTTTTGTTTAAGTTCTGGCTTTAAAATCTTCTATGTGTTTTCTCAGCTTAATTAGGAATAAGTCTAAATTGAGTTTCACCACTGAGTGTCCCTTCCGGGGCTGACAGGAGTGGGGATCGGGGGTGAAAGAACCCCCAAAGGATCAGCATCCATCATCAAGATATGTCTTACCTTCCGAATCTACATAGAAATTGGCTCTTACTATGGGCACCTTAATTAACTGAGGAGATGCCAAAGGAACATATGAGTAGAATAATTCTCAATGGGAAAATGATGGTATTACAACATTGACATTTCTACAGACACGTTTCTTTCTTATGGCTAAAACAAGTAATTCTGCCCATTCTCCCAGCGGAGAACCCTGACACCTCTGGAAATCTAGCAGAAAGGATGGTCCCAGTGAGTAGGGGAGAGCTTTCAACCTCTCTCCCTTGAACATCAGGGAAACCACAGCCCTTTGGTGTGGCGATCATGTGGCCTCCTTTCTCTAGTCCTCCTGTTGAACTTGCTGATCTAGACTCAGAATTAGACATGAGGACATTGCAGAGAGACCATGTCATTACTCAAAGCTTTCTTCTTCTAGGGAATATGGAGGTGGCACATGGGCGAGACGCTGATGCCTGCATCAGGCCTCATGTACACTGCCCACAGCCCCTAACTCCAATACCGCAGCTGCGGCTCGAACACTGCCCCTCCGCTTCTACTTCCTGCAATATCCCTCTCTAAAGTATCCTGCAAATGATAAATCTTAATAATCGCCACTGCTGACTCTGAGGATTCCAAGGAGATGATGATGGATTTTTTCTTTCCTGATATGGAATGTTTAGAAGATAATGAGGCTAGTTACACTACACGCCTGATGAATTGCTCACAAGGAGCATCCACAGGAAGGTTCTCGAGGAGCCTTGGAGAATATCAGTGTAATGGCACAGGTGCAAGCACCCAGGGATGGCAAAGGGAGCCCTGGATCAGGGACAGGTCTGAGAGCCTTGCATCAAAAAAAAGCACAACAAAACAAAAACCTCTGGGAAATGTTTGACATGTCATAATTGTATTAGGCAAGACAACTTTTTTTGCATATAAACTGTAGCCTGGTCTCTAAATAAACACATTTTTCAAGGATGTTAAGCATCTACTGTTCTCACCTAGAACAACACTGAGGAAGTTGAAATAAAGAAATAAACCCACATTTCCTTAAAAAACAGACCAGACAGGGCCTGGACACACGTAGGAGACATCAGTGGAGAGTCATCTGTGTGGCCGGGACTGAGCGGATCTACAGAGCCGTGTCTGCAGGAAGGACTGCTAGAGGTGAGTGCAACCAGAGGCAGGTCAGCAAAGACGTAAAGTCAAAACCTAAGTTTCATTTTTAATGATGTTGCACATCTAAGCAAAAGCAATAACAACAACAACAAAAAAACACAAGTTTCCCCAAAAGCTGATTCAGTCATTTTGGGGGGGTCAAGATCTTCTCTGGGCATTTCATGTTTTGTCTAAAATCATAATACAAATGAGGACACGGACAGAAAATTGTATGTATTGGTGGGTCACTAAGAACTGGGAAAATTTATATAAACATCACTTTTTCCTACAGTTTGCAAAAATGAAAAAGTTAAATCTAAAGATCTGAGCTTAAATATCATTCACAACTGATACTTAGTTTTAAATGTTATTATTTGCTATTTAGAAAAGGTAATTTGAAGAAAATGTCTGTTTCAGGCTCTACTTCCTAAATTTAGAAAAACATTCATAGCTAAACATTCTTTGCATTTTACCTCCCAAGGCAGGCGGAGGAAGAGGGTAGGATTTTGAACACAGGTTCCCTTCAGCGCCCATGAGTCTTAATGGAAATAATAAAGATGACTTGGGCCATATCAGATAGCCAAGGCTCTGTAAACTTGAAGAACTAATCCTATGGTTACATATGTTTTTTTTTTATAATGCTAATTTATCAAGCATGTATCAGAGGTAGTACGATTTCTGTTTTTGCTTGTTTTTCTCTCATAAAATTAAGTAGCAGGGAAGACATTTATTTCAAGCAAAGCAAGTTTTCCTTGCTCCCCATAATAAATCCCTATCATATTTTAAACAATGACATGTAAAATATCCTAAAATATTTCCATTTTAAATGTACCTAAATGTTTTGGCATTTAGGGATTATAAGAATTCTAGGTAGTAAAAATCAAACAAAAACCACACAAAGAAACCCCAAAACACTAACAAAACATCAACCCACAAATATCATATTATAGGTGTCTTTTTCTGTAGCAAAAATATTAGAGACCAAGAAATTGAAAGTGGGAAGTCTAAAATTTTGTGAGAGCTTAATTTAACACAACTGAATAAATACTAATGGAATCTATGAACCAACTGCTGAACTGAAAATTTGGTATGTCATATGACTTCATGCTTTGTTTGGGGGTATCCACATGGACCTATGGAATTAGACCTGTTTTAAAGCAAATGGGTTACAGTGAAGTTACATAATTCAGAAGTTACTTTGCTTTTCCAGAGTAGCAATGAATCTTTAATGACTTAAAAAACAAAAAAAAATTAATAAAGAATACATGTGTTCTCCTGCAATAGCTCCCATACATAATGCTAGTACTTGGATTGCAAACCTTCCCCCAGTAACTGGGTTAAGATATTATCCAACCAATGAAAGTTATGTCAAGTTTATCTGGTCATTTCTCCAGATTCCTAATGGCATTAAAAAACGTTATCTATGCAAACACTGGTGGTGGCTAAAGACCAAAAAGCACGGAGTTTGTATGGATAACGGGACAAGCTCAGAACATGGGCAACAGTGCTCCCTGCTTCTTATCCCTACAGATTTCAAACTAGGGAGGTGCTGTTATTGGCTGGTCCATCCGACCCTTGGGGCACTGTGATAGGAGTCTTCAACAACAATGGAACTGTTTTCTCAATCAAATAGGGCTATAAATTAGATTCTTTCAGTGGACCCAAACAACGTAAATGTAACTTACAATAACTGCATTTTCTCAACAATAAACTCTTCTATAAATGGCAAGATGCAAGACTACACAGGCTTACCTTCCACGTGGCTGCGTTGCGCCGGAAGTAAGCAAACATTCGTGTGAACCAGTTATAGATTTCATTTAGTGTTAGCTGCTTTTCTGGAGACTCGAGAATGGCCTGGGAAGCCAAAATAACAAAGATAATTTATGACCAAATCAGCAGAATCATTATACAGTTTCTTGAAAATATAAAATAACCATGATTCAGAGCTAAATCCTAAGAAAGGTTTCCAAAATGATATAAGATTAATGGTTGTATTTAACAGTTCAATAGCAAAATTCAAAATGAAATTATGTAATTGTTTTGAGTTTTTATTTCTGTTTCTGTACAGAAATATTAATTTATTAGTCATTCATAAAGCAGAATCAAAGAGAAATGCAAAACATTTCACTAGCTGATTAAAGCTCAGTAATTATTTAGAGCTCAGATTAATTCTGGGATCAGAGATTACTGTGGCTTGTGATAATTGACTTGCCATCTTTAAACAGGCTCATTTTCACTGTTGTGTGAAATGAATTTCCTAATAATCACATCGTATTGTAATACTCAATCAAAAGCAATTATGTTATATATTGCAGTTTTAAAAAACCTTATAGTCAAGGTATTAGCATGCCTGCATACTAAGCGGTTTTAAATCTACTTCATCAGTATGATACCTCCATGTACACACACGCCTTTTGATATAATTTCATCTACTGTGTTATTTACTTACCTGCCTAATTAAAGATGCATATGTAAATGGTGGTCTAACTTCTGCATTCTTATAAAATTCTTGGTTCTGCGCAATATCTGCTAAATAAGAGCATTGTCCTGTTAGTGGTCACCTCTAAAAAAGAAGTTGGTCTGCAAGAAGGCACGTGCAGTTCTGCACGAGGCACAATGCGTCTCTACCTGAGGAAATGGGCACGTTGTACTTGTCCGAGTAGCGCCTGCGGATGGGCCCCACGGTGTGCATGCTGGTGGTGGTGATGACGGAGGCGCCCTGGGTGGCGGGCGTGAGGGGCGCGGTGGGCGTGGTGGGCGTGTGGGGTAAGCTCTGCGGGGAGGCCTCCGGCGCGGACTTGGAGAGCGTGACGCTGGACACCAGGTTCAGCTGCGGGGAGAGAGAACCCTTACCCTCCGGCCGGCGCCTGGCGTCCTGCTTCTCTCAGGGGTTCTGGTCCCTGAAGCGTGAGGGGACCCACGGAATCCACATTCACCCAGCAGCTGGCTGGGGTGCCCTGAGCTCCCCAACAGGACTGCTTGCAGTGGAGCACCCTGAGGAGCTGCCTCTACTGACATTTTAATAAAATACTTCCATTTTAATCAACTTAACTATAAATAGCCAGGTATAACCCGGGCTTCCAGGCTGCCACGCTTCGGGATGAAGATGGGCACACGCAGCTTTACCAAGGCCCGGGCACAGCCAGGCACTGCCGATGGCCTCCCGCTCAGTAAGAACATGGCCTCTGAGATCTGAGAGACAGGGAAAGGTAATGTTCCTGATTTTTCCCCCTTCAGGTTTCCCATGTTCACTAATAGAGAACTGGAGTGATCTACTTTGTCACGTGAGAAAATGAGGACTACTTGTTGGAAGCAATATAGAGGAAAAGCAACTATACTGCTTTGGTGCGAGTGCTCACTCCTGGCCCTCTTTTATGGATTAGGGAAGTCTGTTGGTAAAGCAATCTGCAGGCGCTAAAGTAACAGTACTTTACTTTCTTTCTTTGTCTCTATCAATGTCACTTTCACCCTGAAGCACTTCTCTTATTAACACCAGACAAACAGGCGTAACCTCCTTTTCCAAAAATTACTGTTACAGAAATATTAAAACTGGCTGTGCTGAAGAACTTGATCATTCTCAACATATTTATTACAGTTTACACAGAACTGCTAGCTCAGACACATACAGTTGGCCCACATCCAAGAAACTTCAGCGAGTAAGAAACCATTATTTCCAATCACATACAGAGCAAGCCTGTTCGCCGTCACCGCAGTCCTACGCACGGCGTTGTTTGTGGAAGGCACTCAAGATGCGACTCCTCTGAGGTCATAACCAAAGAACTTATTAAAAGAAGAGTGTCAATTACTGAAACGACTCAACCTTGCTCATACTCTAGCAATGGAAAAGGCCATGAGAAACTTCTGTCTAACACGTTTAGAGTACTTCCATAAAAAGGAAAATAAATCCGAAGAAAAGAAAGAACAAGTAGCCTTGGGAAAGTATTCACGGAAACATGTGAACGTGGTGCTGGGGACGGAATGCCGGGCTGCAAGCTTGTAGCTGTGCTGCTTTTTCACCCCCTTTCCTCCAGGTCTGGCTCAGCCAGCCGGAGGAGCAGGCCGGGGAGGCCACCGCGCCGAGGGCGCTCAGTGCCGGACACCGGGCTCCTGGCACACATCTATCTGCAAACTAAGCGCTGGCAGCTCGAGGTGGCAGCCCTGGGAAGGAGCGGGAGGGAGGCGGGGTGACGCCTTCCCCACAGTGGACCTTTATCATGGCCAGGGGCACAAACCGGATGCATCAGCCCCACCCGAGGGGATGAGCGCAGGGCGGCGAAGCTGGCCCGTGCACAGCTCTCAGAGTCACCGGCGCCCGTGTAAGAAGCAGGTGGCACCACCTGCCCCGTGTAGGTCTCACTTCATTTTTTCACCATCACTAATTCCTGAGCTGTTATTGCTCATGCTGCACGGTAAGCAAACTGAGGCTCGGGAGAGGTTAGGTAACGCCCAAATTCACAGCCGGGCCGTCCACAGGCACCTGTGACTGAATAAGGAAGACACAACCAGTTTCTCTGAGGGAGGCTCTGGGAGGGCGCAGGGCTGGCTGCATCCGCTTCTCAAGGCAGGCAGCCACACTGCGGGCAGCCACACTGCGGGCAGCCAGGGCTCCGGGAGCGGAGCGGACAGAGGGGGCTGCAGGCGCCAGGCGGCTCCGTAGGCAGGCCGGCGCCCCGCAGGCCCGGGCGCTGCCCCCGGGCTTCCTTCCGCACCGCACGGCGCCTCGCACAGCCTCTCTTAAGCTGCGGCAGAACTGTAATGTGAATATAACGTCCTTAAAAAATGTGCCTGCTCCTTCCCAGTTTTTGGAAAAGATCTCCAAGTCCACTGGGTTCTAGTCTAATTGTCCAAACCCAGGCTCACGTAGACATTCCGGGAGGCGAGCATTTCGGGGGCTCGCATCCGGGGGTAACAGACAGAGCACACGGAGCAAGGCCCCCAAATGTGGACAGCAGCGACTCGCGGCTCTGGCACAGGCCTCACGCGGCCGTTTCTCCCAGGAAGATGGCGGGAACAGCTCCCCACGAGGGGAGGGAGCGGAGCTCGGGAGCGCTGAGCAGCAGGAGCAGGTGCACAGCCACTCGGCCAGAGGAGGACAGCGCGGGCGGCCCAGGCGTGACAAATGACACGGGATCCACGCCCACCGCTGGGCTGTCTCTAACAAGCCACAGAGGAAGCGGCCAATCTCGGCTAATTACCAGATAAAAATGTATTGTAAGGACTCTAATTAGGAGACGCGGATGGAGGTGATCTAATGATTAAATGCCGCATCGAGCGACCTGCCATCATGTGCAGTGCTGCGGGACGGCCTGGAATATTTTGTGAAACAGTCATTCTATTTCAAGGAGGGGAGGCAGTCGTATTTGTAGTGATGGCTATGAGGTAAACTAATTAAAACACAGTTCCTGGAGGAAGAGGGTGGCGGAGAGCAGCTGTGGCCATTCCAACGCCAGTGCCAAGTCTCTACAGAGGGGCTGCAGTCAAGTGGAAAATGTCTGCCTGACCTCTGCCCTCGCTATTAATTTGCAGGAAAACTAATGACACATATACATATTCCCACAAAATTGTTCTAATTGCTAATTTGCCAAAGGAGCCAAGATTCCAAATTAGACACGACTGCAGCCCGCAAGGGGAGGGCGCAGACGCTGAGGGCGCAGACGCAGGCTGGGCCTCCCAGAGCCTCTGAGCCGAACCAACAAGTTAATGAAGCATCAGCCTTGTCAACCGCAGCCCAGCGGGCTTACCTTTCCTCTGTCCCATCTCACAGGCTTGTCTGGGAGAGGCCAGTGAGGGCCGGCCACAGGGCGGGCAGGGCGAGGCAGGGCTCCAGCAGGCTGCACCCCACCTGCGGGGAGGCCTGCGCCCCGAGGACAGTGAAGCACAGGCGGCACTGACCACGCAGCGGGCACGCACGGGTCTGCTATCGCCCTGAATCGTAAACTATAAATCTTAAACATACCCCTCAACCGGGACAAAAGCCTCTGCACCGTGTTCCTGACGGCAGGCCCGTTTCAAAGGGACTCTGGGCGCGGGGCGGAAGGAGCTGGCCCGGGGGGGCTTCTTTTCCCATTTTTCTTATTGTGTTCACTTTCTATTTAAAAAGAGGTTGCTATGTTTAGAGAAGTTAGTAACGCTGGTATTTTCTACATGGCAAGTTTCCATCATGTGACGATTTGGGCAAAGATAATCTCTTTGGAACTCTGGCCAGAAGTTAAATTCCTCTGTCACTTAGCGCTGCAGGCTGTGTTTAGTCCTGCGCTCCGGCGGCTGCGGGCGGCCTGGGGATCCCAGCCGCGGCGGGAGCGGGCTCGGCTACCTCACAGTCTGCTCGGCCCTTCGCAGAAAACCCATCTTTACTTTTTAAAATAGTAACCTCGTCTCTCTTTTAAAGATGGTGAGTCATTCGTATTAAAAACAAAGAAAAAAACCGAACAAGCCGCTGAAGCAGAGCTGGACAGAGACAGACTTGTCGAACTCCCATAAGGCCTTGTGGGTATTTTTGTTTATGCTCTTGTCTCACATGAGAACAGACTCTGAGAACAAAAGACAAAGCTGAAACCAAACACATAAACACAAGGGACCTTGCTGCTGGGGGAATAGGAGGGGGGAGGGGGTCAGGGGTCAGAAGGGGGGCCTTCTAGGCCCCCAGAACTCGTGTTTTCTGCTGTTGGGCGTACTGGCTTGAGCGGGGCCCAGTCCTGCATGGAGTTTCCCTACAGAAATCCCGTGTGTTGCTTCAGAGAAGGCTTCCTGAGGCTGAAGGACCCCCAGGCTGGGGAGGCTGGGATGGGGTGGCAGCGGAGGTTCTGTTCCCAGCCCTGGCTTCCCCCCCGCTGCCCCAGCCCTGCCAGGCCCTGGTTCCGCCTTGGTGCCAGGGCTGGAGTGCTGGAGTCCCTGACCGGCCCCGGAGCGCCGCTCAGAGCAGAGCAGGAGGGATCTGTGAGGAGGTGCAGAGCATGGCCTGCGTGTGCTGCTGTCCGCACACAGCATGGCTGCTCCCCACTGCTCCTCCTCCTCCCCTTCCGCACACAGGCCTTGCCCCACTCCCAGCCAGGCCACACCGTCTAGGAGCTGCTGTACTACAATCCGAGAAGTTCCAGCAGCTCCCCTGATGGAGTGGAAGGGGGACTGGTTGGAAGACTCACCACCAAACGGCGCCTACGGCAAAGCCTTCTACCACTCAGTCACTAAGAATTTAAAAATAAACACCAAGTCCTTTTTAAACAGAAATGGAGAGAAAATTCATAACCACACTGGCAAGGCTATAATGTCTAAGTCCCCATCTATGGTTAGATTTGAAACCTGGCGATTGCTTATTTCAAATCAAAGATTCAGGAAGAATATGCATTGGAACATACACTGTGTTTTCTACTATTTACGGTGAAATAAATGAATGGCCAGCAACAGGGACTGTCCGCACGTTAGACTTGATTATCACTCAGCTCTGTCACCAAAGTGGGAAAGTCAAGGGCTTGCTGTGTGTATGTGCTTTTTCTTTTTGGGCCACGGAAGTAAAAACTTATGCAAAACATGACACGTCTATCTTTTCTAATTAATTTCCCAATGCCTCACCTATACATATTTAATAATTCCCGATTTATAAGACGGTATCTGTAATGAAATTTTCTATTTTCCAATAAATGAAAAGAAGCAGGTTCACTCCAGCAACAGTGTCACACAGTATCTGTTAGTCAGGCACCAATTTCTACTTCTTACATGTAAGTTAAAGGATAAGGAATTTATAATGCTGCCTGTGAAGGGAACCACTTTTCATACACAAATGTGATCTTTTTATTTTTCAAAGGGTAATACAACAGTACATTTACATAAACTAATCCAAACAATCTGTGTGTTTGACAATGGCAAGCCTCACACAGACGCCTATTGTTGGTTTACATCTTGGAGCCCTTTATGCCGGCGTGTCGCGCTGCTCGAGCTGTCAAAGGTTTGACTTGGGCTCTAAATAAATGGTGTGGAAGTGCTGCGCGGCGATATTGGGCTTCTTTGCAAAAGAAAACCTGCTGTGTATGAATTCAAAAGCTATTAATTTTTCAGTCAAAAATATTCGTGCCTATTTCTTTTAATAAAGAAATACTGTGCTGAGCTACTAAGAGATAATGTTGACTAGTGGTAGAGAATTTTCAATAGAGCAGTTAAAAATAAATTTAGTAGGAGGTCTGCTTCAGAGTTATAATTTTCTAGAATGTAACACATTTTTTAACACTAATCGAGGCGAACTTCCTGTGCCTTCTCCCAGGACTGCTCTTCCCCGTCTGCTGGCTGCTCCCCACTGTCCTCATGGAGAGTCCCGGCCTTCTGGGGCCTCCCTGGCGTCTGGGCTCTGGCCGTGCCTTCTCCAGTTTGACCCTTCCTCCGCCCCCAGAAGCGTCACGATCCAGAACGAGTCCATATCCGGAATCCAAACATTGCTGCACCCTTGTCTATAAGTAGAAGATAGTATCACTGCCCCCTTGTTGCTAGGGTTACAGACACACACCTTTCAGCCTGGGAGGAACCACTTCCCTCCAAACGAAACCACAGGAACACTCTCAGGTGGAAGGTGGCCATGTCCCTGAGAAGCAGCCGGCCCCTGGAGAAGCAGGCATTGGGGGTCTCAGCACTGCTCAGCCAGTTCCTGTCCTTTCCAGGGTCCTGATTAAAAGGAGGGATGGGGCCGCCCCTGTGGCGGTGAACCTATGAACCAGGAGGTCCCAGTTTGACTCCCGGTCAGGGCATATGCTGGGATACAGGCTCCACCCCCAGTAGGGGTGTGTAGGAGTCAGCAGATCAATGACTCTCATCACTGATGTTTCTCTCTTTCCCTCTCCTTTTCTCTCTGAAATAAAAATAATAATAATAAAAAATAAAAAAATGTAAAGCATAGCACAGGTGACTACTGATTCCACCACACTCTGAATGTCTGTCTCCCCGCCCCCTTTCTTTTTGGTAGCCTGCACGCCCAGTCCCATAGCCATTTACTGCAAATACATGGGAACTAAGGGCTCCTTCCAAGTAAAAATGGATGTGCAAAGTGTTTAATGATTTTTATGTCCTATATCTCAGTAATGTGTTCTGTTTCAGACATTAATTTTGTCTGCCAACTGCGTCCTGGCAGGCTACCATATTTGCTGGTTAATAGTCTGACTCCGTTTTATTTCTATCACCATAAATCATACATATATGGGTGTGTGTTTGCTTTATTTATAGAAAAAAATCAGTCAAAACAGATAAACCAATACTTTGTCATTATGCTGCATCATTGCATGTTGATTAAAATTGCTGGTACTAACTATAGATTGTCAACGCTCAATTAATTTTCACACAGTGACTCCGTACAAAATCAAATAAAGGCAGTGTACCTTTAAATTTTACAAATCTTAAAAATCAAGGAGCAAAGCAACTCTATTTTGATAATCAGTTGAAGGTACTAGGAGATTTTTAGAAATACAAGTATATGAGAATTACAACTATTGAAGAGATCAATTTAGCATAAGGAACGAGGCCCAAGCCAGGAGCTGAGACCATCTTTCTGTTGGATGGCACTTCCCGAGGTCAAGTGAAAGGAAGAGGCAAGAAGCGGGACGCCTAGAGCTGACATGATTTAGAGCCGAGCTTGGTCTCCTGACTGGGAAGGAGCCCACGTTACCTGGAGGCCCCACAGTTTCACCTCCGTCACACACACTCACTGCGCTCAGCTTCCCGAGGCTGCGAGGCCTCGCTCTGCCTCCGTGGTCTGTCTTCTCCCTGCTTCGCCTTTCAGAGTCTTTCTTTTCTCTCCCAGTGAGTTCGCATCGTCTATTTTAGCAGCTTAGTGTAGCATCCACCATCTGTCTCAAAAGGGGCTGGCTGCTCGGGCCTCAGGAGCAGCACTGGGCCGATGCACCCTGTGTTTCCCTAGGCACCTCCTCAGACAGGTTACAGAAGTAGCCAGCTCACGGCAGGCCTTCCCTACGCACCGCAGCCGGCTCACTGCAGGCCTTCCCTACGCACTGCAGCCGGCTCACTGCAGGCCTTCCCTACGCACTGCAGCCAGCTCACTGCAGGCCTTCCCTACGCACTGCAGCCGGCTCACGGCAGGCCTTCCCTACGCACTGCAGCCGGCTCACGGCAGGCCTTCCCTACGCACTGCAGCCGGCTCACGGCAGGCCTGCCCTACGCACTGCAGCCGGCTCACTGCAGGCCTGCCCTACGCACCACAGCCAGCTCACTGCAGGCCTTCCCTACGCACTGCAGCCGGCTCACTGCAGGCCTTCCCTACGCACTGCAGCCGGCTCACTGCAGGCCTTCCCTACGCACTGCAGCCGGCTCACTGCAGGCCTTCCCTACGCACTGCAGCCGGCTCACGGCAGGCCTTCCCTACGCACTGCAGCTGGGTGGCTGTGCTCTGCCTTAGGTTGGTGTAGGGATGCCAACAAGAAGGCTGCCAGCTTCCCGTGTGCAGCTCAGTACTCACGGGCTGCGGGGTGGCTTTGGGCTCCGTGGACTTCACGTGCAGGTGGGTCATCATGGCTTGCAGGCGTTCTTTGTCTTTTGCAAGCTAGCAGGGAGAAAAGGCTCTGTTATTTCTTTAAGTATAGATTTGAATGCACTGTTACTATTACATATCATTATAGCCAAAACAATACACATTCCAAATTGAACTATGGCATCATCACACATGACAAAATATTTTCCCCCGATTAATCATTTTGAAATCTACATGACCAGTGCCAAACTCAAGCACTAAGGTGTCGGTGTGGGTTTCCCAGCACAAGATACATTAGTCTTTAACTGGAAGTTCCAGACCGGCTGGCACCAGGAGTCGCATGTGACACAGACAGCGAGAAGGCAAAAGCGTGAATCATGCCTATTAACCACCTATCCAGGAGGAAGCTGGAAGAAAATGAGCCAGGTAGCTAATACTCATCAGCTCATGTGCTGCTGTGGGGAAACTCCTAGACAGACAGTGCATTGATGCCAAATGAGCTCCATCTTCCCGGGCAGGGAGGCCCAGAGGAAGGCCTGGCCGCAGTCTCACTGGCAGGCCAGACGGAGGGCCACTGCGTCACAGGTGCCCATTTGCAATGAACACAGGGTAACTTGCCCATTTACTCAGTAAGCACCTCCACCCTGTGCTGGTCTCTCATCTAACATACCAAACCTCCTAACCCTACAGAGCATTACCTTCTGAGGCACAGGGGTTCTAGTCTGCTGTATGTGGCAGGGACTCAAAATACTGATTTTTGGATGTTACTTGCTTTATGCGTGCCTTGGACTGTTTTAACATGGTATTTTTGATAGTTCAAGATAGCTGAGGATAGGCGACATGTAATAACTCTGTGAAATAAGTGGGAAGTGTATCCTCAAAAGGTGATGGTATTGTTAATAGAACAGCTGTGGGATTTTGGGAAAATGCGTAAGAGAGTGATGAGAGGGCGAAGGGAGAAGAGGAGGAAAAGAGAGAGGGAGAAACACAAAATTGAGGAGGGATTCATTTCTTCTATGTCACATAACTAACCTTAAATCAATTATGTCTTATAAGGCTAAAGTTATTCCAAAATAACAATCAAGTAAGACATTTTTAGATAGGGGCACTTTTAAGGGAGAAAGTGCTTCAGGAATGGGTAAGCAGAGGAAGGGAGAGGATATACCAGCAAGAGAAAAAGGCCCCAAGAATCCTACTAGATGCTGGCTGGCTCAGTCTTGGGCCGTATCACATTTGATTTTCTTTTCTTCTTATTCCCTTGTGGTTCAGGGAGGACTAAATGCGAAGGGGTGAGGAGGGTGGGGGGTGGGGGGAGAGAGAGAAGAGCCCTACAGAGCTAGCATTTATCTTCCAACAAACAGGAAATGAAAATGATACCATATTAGGAGCCACTTTATATTATTCATCTTCTGTTCTTTAGTAAGTTATTGAACAGCCAAACAAAAAGATGCTCTCAACACAAAACATAATGCTAAAGGAATTTAGTTTTCCAAGTGGCTCAGTTAGAACAATTAAAATGTTGGCAATGGCATTTTTCTACAGTTTTTTTGTGTGTGTTTTTAATGTGAGTATTCTAAATTTTTAGATGTTAAAAGTTAAACATTCTTAATTAAAAAAAATGTTTTGTTTTAAAATTATAATGGGCAGAAGGAAAAACAAGTAGTGTGTCATAGTGAATGCTACAAATTAAAGGGTGAGAGTGATGATGCTGCAGTCCGATGAATATTAACTGTGACTTAATTTGGGGGTAAACATTGTTGACATATTAATTACAAAGACCAAAGAGGAAAGAAATCCAAATTCTCAGCACATAAAGGAATCACCTGGTAGATCTCTCTATATTCCATGGAAACATCTACCAGGCTGACTTTGACTGGTTAGACCTAAGAAAACACACCCCTCGCCTTGCACACAAAGCCACACCCAGAACCCTGGAGCTCCTGCCATAGGGAACATTTTAGTTTTCCACAAGAATGTTTAGACTTCATTATCCATTTTGAGAATTATCTAGGTTCCTGATTTTGCTTCTACCAACCTCAACTCCACCTATAAATGATAGCTAAGTTTACAGAAAAGATAAAAATCTAGGGTTTTGTTCTTAATTAGTGCAAACTAGCATGTGATATATTCTTAAATGAGATTTGGATTTTTATCATCAAGTCTAGCTCTAATACAAATTATTTTAACAGTTAAAGAAAACCTGGCAGAATCTGCTTTTTGTTTAGGCAAAAAGGCTAAACACTCACACCTATTGAAACCACACCCTCTCTCTACAGTCTTACATTTATAACACTCACTGGTCCTTCAAAAGCTTTCAGATTCTTTATTACTTTTTATACCATCATTGCATGAGCTCACCATCCCATCAATTTTCATGGCATCCTTTAATTATTATGAGAATACAAGCATTTAATATTAGCAAGCATATTCCAGCATTCCCTTATACTGAGTCCCAGGAAAGGCAAAGGAAAGGAGGATGAGAAGTTCAGTCCAAAGGTCAACTAAAAAATCTGGCTGGCAAATTTAAAAAATGTACGCTGAGATATCCAAAGAGGACGACTGTCCGGAAGCTTTCCTGGGGTCAGCGAGGCTGGCATGTGCCGAGTCCTGTACATCCTCTGTTTGGTCGCCACTTGCACAGCCTGAAAGCTGGGGGGGTGGGGGAGGTGAGAGGTGCACTCTGGGCACAGCATGGAATCTCTGTTTAGTTCTCCCTGTAAATCCGGAACTGTATCCTCTGAACTTGGCAGGGCTGCTTACAGGTGTAGGGAAACTCTTGCTCATAAGCCCAGCACAGAGCCCAGTGCTTCATGATATTCAAAATATTTTTTTGTTTTTTAAAGGAAAGTTAAATCAGTGAAGTCTCTGTGAACTCCTGGCTGAGTGTGCATTTGAAATCTGGATCATATAATGGGTTCAGTGGAATCTGCATCTGGGTTCATGGGAAGAGAATTTTGATGCTTAAAAAAAATGGAACAAAGCACGGGAAAGACAAAGCCCTTATCTTAGGGGTTTCTGTCCTGTTCTCCCTGGACCCTGGCCACACCCCAGGAGTGCTTTCCCTCGGCTGAGACAGGCCGTCCTCTCCTGTTAGCGTCAGCGTGCTGTGCGGCGGACACGGCCTCGGGCGTGGAGGGGCCTGCGGCCAGCGGCCCCAGCCTGTCCCCCGAGACAAACACCCGGGGAGGCCCCTCTCAGCAGAGAAGAGGCCGTGGTGGTTTGGGGCTCATCGCACATAATCGTTTTACACGCTGTCAGGAGGATGAATCATCTTAAGCCCGATTTGGTGGTTCTCACTGATGAGAAAAAATTCTTCTGAAATGAAGAAAGGACTTGGGGTGTCTAAACACACTGGGCTTCCCGAGGACAGACGAAATGAAGGAGCCACAGAGGCAGGCCCTGGGCGACTCCCCGTCCTCCTACGTTCCTGATTTTATGGTGGACCTGAAGGCCCTCCCGGAGGAGCGCGGGGCGCGGGCGGGCAGCGGGCCAGGTCCCGGGCTGGTGGGACGGAGGCACCGGCAGGCTGGCGCAGGCGGAGGGCCGGCCAGAAGAGAGGCCGGAGGAGGGAGGAGGAGCGGCCTGGCCGGAGGCGGAAATGAAGCTTCTACCACCCAGTTCAGTCCAGTGCTGTGACAATAGGGGCCTGACAAATAGCGACTAAGTGGAATGAAACTATCAAAGAATGAAAGCCCACAGCCTCCCCCGCCGTCGGGCAGGAAGGTGGGCCCGGGACTGGCTCCTCTCCCGATGCTGCTCTCCAGGCTCCCGCTCAGGCCTGGCGGCTGAGGGGCCCGGAGCCGGCACACGCCGAGCTGTGGACAGAATGGAACGCCATGTTCCTGTTCTGTTTCCCTTTGCTTTAAAACCATCTTCATCCACGAATGAGATGTGCTGACAACTGAGCAAGGTCATGTGGTCACAGAACAGTATAAAACCAGGACGGTATTTATGACCAGAAAAATGTATGTACATCATGAATGTCAGCTTTCTGAGTGGTAAGTCTGTCAGGGACTTTTTTCTTTCTGTCTATTAAACTGAATGGTTTCCTCTTTTTCCAAAAGGAATTCTGTTCTGGCCACTGAGATACCTCTTATGATATCTCACCCCCAGCGGCATGGCTGAGAGAAATCCTAATTCGCCTGAGTGACCCAGGCAACTGGACTGGTATGAACTGAAACGTGGGCCCAAGCCTGGTAGATGGTAGTGCTCAGGTACGGAGGCAGGTCCGAGGCTTCCTCACAGTCCCGGCACACGCGTAGCATTTGGTGGGAAGCCTTCTCTCCCCAGATGTGCAGCCCGTCCGTCTCTGCCGGCATAATGGGAGGGGGGGGGGGGTGCTGCACACGTCACACCGACGTGAACATGCCCGGCGCCTCTCCGGTTCTAGCTCACCGAGACCGGCATCGCCCCAAGAGCTCTCCCCAGAGAACAGCGGACAGGCGTGTTCCCGACCTCAGAAAGCCACGGCCTGGGCCCAGAGGACGGCCTGGTGCCGGTCTGCCAGGGCCACGTGCGCAGGGCAGGGCTGCACACAGCCGCTCCGTGTGCGGCCGCCCCCCCCCTCCCCCCCCCCCCCGTCAGTCCCCGACAAAAGGTCTCTGCTACCACAGATGCAGTAAGGAGTCAAAGGGCTCCGAATGCCCACCGCGATGTCTTTCTGACCCTGCCCGCTCAGGGGGAAGGGCCAGGGCACACAGGGGAACATGGCAGTGGAACTGCCAACTTCCGGCCCCCCGCTGCTAAGGAAGCACGCGCTCTGACTCCGCCATCTCCCAACAGTGACACCCAGATGCCTCTCTGGCCACAGGGCTAGGCAGCCGCAGCAGGCCTGCCCATCACCTCGCTCCCCCTGCGGCCCCACTCCTTTCCGTGATCAGGCGTGCGGCAGCCTGTGCCCCGAGGCGGGGAGGGGCGGGGGAGACCTTTTTCTGCCAGGGGCCACCTGGACATTGTAACAGGATTTGCCGGCCATACAAAACCATCCACCTAACACTGGCCTGCTCTATTTGGTCAAACATGTAACGAACTCACCCCTAATGCCTGGGAAGGGCCAGAGCAAATGGTTTCATAGGCTGATACAGCTGTGGGCTGGCCGTTCCCTACCCACTAAGGCTAACCAAGGTGAGTAAAACACGGCCCGATTCTTTCGGAAGTCTGACTACAGGTGGGAACAGCAGGGCCTCTGTGCCGGTCCACGGTGCGGCGTCTGTGGCTGAGGCTCCTGTGGCTGGACACGTCTACAGGATGCACCCACGTGGCCTTCACCAGCTGTGGTCACACGTGGCCCCCACAAACTGCCCTCCCACATTCCCCCAGGAGACCCTTCCCCAGGACCTATCTGTTGAGCCCACAGGAGGAACCTCTGCTGATTTCTACTCTAAGACTAATTTAGCTCGGTTTTTGTTTGTTTGTTTAATATACTTTTGTTGACTTCAGAGGGGGAGGGAGAGAGACAATGATGAGAGAGAATCACTGATCATCTGCCTCCTGCCCGCCCCACACTGGAAATCACACCTGCAACCCGGGCATGTGCCCTGGTTCATAGGCTGAACCGTGACCTCCTAGTTCACAGGCCCGCTGTGGGCTCCGGGCTTTGTTTCTATGGGGTAGAATGACCCCTCCCAGGTGAGAATGCCAGCCAGTCGGGCAGGGCAGACTTCTTGGGGCAATTGCCCCAACCTGGATGAGGGCTCGGTGCAAATGATTTCCAAATTCAAGTTACTAAGTGGTAATTATGTAACATACTTTGAGATCCTGGAAGGTTTCAGTAGGTCCAGCACTGGGTAATGCCCCCTTGAAGGGAAAGAGAAGCTCTGGGTCAGCTCTGTCCAGGGCGTACCCCCACCTACGGGGACCTGGGCTGCTGCGGAACCCCTAGAACACCGAGGTTACCCTGAGGTTACCCTGAGGTTATGCGGGCTCGGGTAACCCGTTCCTTAGGAAGCACGTCTCCAGACAAGGGCACATGGAAAGGCAAAGGGGACAGTGGAAAGGTGGAGGAGCTGTGCTCCGCAGAACAGAGGCTGAGCAGCCCGCTGTGAGTGTGACTGCCCGCCGCTAGCTCTCCCCAAGACCAGCTCTGCAACCCAGTCCCTCCGTCTCACTCCAGAAGGGCTCCTCCGAGCTCTGTCTCGGGGCAGGGCTCATTGAGTACTACAAGCTGTTGACGTTTTCTGGTGTATCTCATCCGATTGGATAACAGATAAAATCTGCTTGGGTTTGGACCCTGTAGCTCTCAAACTCCCTTTTCAAATTGTTTCTGGTGTCTCAAGAACCCATTGGTGCTTGCACTGCCCAACGGATGGACAAGCCAATGGAAAGTTCTCCACTCGGTGTATTTTCCTCTACCGTAAGACCAGGAGGGAAGCCCTCTCTTACTCACTCTGTCCTCCCACAGGCCCAGGAGGTGCCTGCTGTTCCAGGCACAGGGAATGCTGGCTAAGTGCAGGAGCAGATGGATGGATGAATGAATGAAAATGTCCCTCAGCCTGCTTCCATCACAGATAAAGGTCAGCAGCACTTCTCATTGAAGCTGCTACTGAGGAGGCCTGAAGTGTGGTGATTAGACGGATCTTATACACCAAGGCAAAGAAGGGAGAGGTGAAAGAGGTGAGCCGACTCAGGTAACCAGAAAAATAAAGGAACAAGTTGCTAACAATGTAATGAAACTTTTTTTGCTGCCCCTTTTGACAAGGAAGTATGTGGCCACTTCTGCCAGGGCCAGCCAGAGGTGGACATGTTCCGCCGAAGGCATCATGGTCACAATTCCCCGGTTTCCATGGCCCAGGAGCAGTCACAGAGAACTCACAAACAAAGGGTGCGGCCGTGTTCCGACAGAACCGTATACTGGACAGTGACATTTGAACTTCATGTAGTTTAATCTTTTTTTGCTTTCCCTAATGATTCAAAACGTAAAACGCTTTTTTCCCTCATGGGATTTGGTCCATGGTGTGTAGTCATCAACCCTCTTTGGACCAGCACTATTTCCACACTCACCACTCTATTCACCTCCAGGCGGGACAGCCCTCTTTCAGCACAGCAGACTCTCAAGCAAAAGTGCTGTTTGGAAGGCGAGGGGCCTCTACCACACTGTTTGGGACACACCCACAACAAAGCCACCCTAAAGCAACTGCACTTAGTGATGTTGTAGCTCGTTTTCTTCTCCTGCCTGATTTCCGTCGAAAGTAAGGAATGACAAATAAAATAGGTAACCGGTTCCTGAGTGAGGAACAAGGGTCCCACACTCGAATGTGCAGTCCAGAAGGCCTACCAGAGCAACCATGACAACAACTCTGGAAGATAATTTGTTCTAGCTGATCATTGAGAATTTAATTTCATCAATTAAATAAATACAGCAGGAACTTGTATCACTTTATAAACACTACCAGCAACACATGTAACCTCAGGCTGAATCCAGTTTTTAAGCGCTTACTACACTTCAATGTAAAGTGAACTTTGGGGTGAGATAAATACAGTGCTTTTTACCTTCCACAAAAACTTGCTAAATTTAAAGATGTTTCCAAAGATTTACCTAAAAATCTGGGGATTTTATGATGTGCCTTTTGCCTGTATAAATATCCTATTCTTCTATAAGTTCATATTATTTGCCTCAATAGAAAAATATTAACTAGCTGAAGAAGATAACTTTTGAGACAATCTTACTTTTAAAAGTTTAATTTGTCAAATAAGATAACTAATTTTTAAAAATCCCTTCTATCCTGAAAAATCACAACAAAAGTTTAAGTATGTTTTGGCTGATTTTTCCCTGCAACTGTTTGAAGCTATAAATGACTTAACTCAGTAAAATTCCAAATGTAATTATCTTCTGTACTTAGCCTAGGGCTCTCCATATATCTCAGCATTGCTGCCTCGCATACAAAACAGCCTTTCTGACGGCATGACCACATAGTGCACAGCATTGTTTAATTCCCCGAGAGGCTCACCTCCGTGCACCAGCCAGGCGGGCGGCCGGCCCGGTGCTCACGCCTCTGCAACATAGCTGCACAAATGGGGTTTGAGGGGTCGGGCCTTTGCAATTGCACATTTTAATAATCTCCATTTCTGACCCAATTTTTACTTTCAGAAACAAATTTTCTACTAATTACACCAAGAATGGAGTTACTGCTAAAACACTGCAATGCACAAACAAGTCATGTGGGGAGTGGAGCCCACACTGAAAATGCCCCCTCCAAGCCTCATAGCTGGGACCCACAGGACAACTGGCAGAAGTTTATTTTCTCTGGTCTTAAAGCACCTTCAGTATGACCCAAGCATTTCCAAGTACAAAGCTTTCCCCTGTGTGTGTGTGTGTCCGTGTGCATGTAAACGTGTGCCGGGAACTCTGGGTCGTTCTGTTGTGGGAGACCTGAGCATGGCCTGCAGGTGCGCTCACTGCCCAGTCTTGCTCACATCTGCTTGCTCTCTCTCTTCATTCACATCGGTTCTCTCTCAGCCTTTCTTCCCAGCCCCCACCCTCCCCGCCTTCCATGCTCCCCCAAATCCAGGTTAATAATATTAACAACTTAAGGCACTTAACTAACAGCAGTTAACCAGCGAGTTAAAGAAGAGAAAAGGAAGGAAGGAAGGAAGGGAGGGAGGGAGGGAGGGAGGGAGGAAGGAAAAGAGGGAGGGAGGGAGGGAAGGAGGGAAAGGGAGAGAGGGAGAGAGAGAGATATGGGGCGCTGATATGGGTGAGAGGTGGCTGCGGTCACACAAATGCACAGAACCCCAAACAGTGAACTGAGGCAGGACTTTCCCAAAGAGGAAAACATCAATCAATCAAATACAGCAAGTTCTGTACCTTCCATTCGATAACGAGTGACAGGGACTCATTGCAGAGGGCTAGTGAAGTTTGGAGTTTGAGGGACACTGAGGTAATAGGAAAAGGAAATTGGGTTTTACCTGTAGCTCTAACTGCTGAACAACCTGCATTTGTACTCTACATTGAGCTGTACTTCTATCGTCCAGCGCATGCTCACTGTTGAGATGT